GAATACTGGGAACTCTCCCCAAACCCTAATTCTCAGATGCCAGCGATGGTCATCTTGCAAACAGAATTTTTAAGGATAGTAGTCTCAGGCCTATTATGTTAACTTCTTTCTACACAGTATATTAATCAAGTTTCTGTATTGGTTGAAAGTGGGTTGAATCTCCAGATGAAAATGGAGCTTCAGGTGATGAAGTCTGAGATCCTATCGCTTGAGGACTGTAATACAATTCATGCCTTGTCTTACTAGTAAATAAAGGGTGTCCCAAAATTCACGCAAGAAGTAATTTTGATAGAAAACACAGGTTTATAATTAAAAATTGTGAATTTTTTATTGATTCATAAAGTATACAGCATAGGGTTATGTATGGAATAGCATATTGGGTAAATGGCCTCCATAGCTTTGCTGGCACATACGCACTCTTTTGTTATTGCCTGAGCAGCCGCATTTTCGAAGAAGAATGGTCCGATGATGCCTCCAGCCCAAAATCCACACCAAACAGTGACACGCTGTGTATGCATTTGTTTCTCAACAATCACTCGTGGATTTTCTGAACCCCAAATGCAACAATTTTGTCGATTAACCAAACCATCAAGATGAAAATGAGCCTCATCGAAATTCAGCCACATTTATACAAAACAGTCATGGAAAATTTCAAGAACAGAGTGTGTATGTGCCAGCAAAGCCATGGAGGCTTTGGGTTTACCCGATAGCACTTACCCGATATGCTATTCCATACATAACCGTACACTATATACTTTATGAATCAATAAAAAATTTACAATTTTTAATTATAAACCTGTGTTTTCTATCAAAATTACTTCTTGCGTGAATTTTGGGACACCCTTTAGGAAGCAGGCCAGGAATGTAGGGTATGGACCACCCACCCCTCCAAGACCATTTAGATCCTGGCTCTAGTCGGAGCTTAGAGAAGAAGAGATAACTAGCTTGCAGACGCAGATGTCCTCACAGATCACAGAGACACTGGCTCAACACGCAGCAGCTAACTCACTTTTTATGTTCTGTTTCCCTCTCCAGTTTTCCAGACGGGGTTGTGTCTTCTCTGATTTCTGGAAAGGCACAATTGTAAGTGACGAGATGGCATGATCAAAGCCTACTTCACACCCAAGTCACTGAAAGCTGTGAGTCACGTGACTCCCCTTCAAGTCCCCCCCAAAAGGCATAATTATGGAACACCACCCTGTGGGCCACCAGGAATATCAGTAGGCATCCATTTCTCCGTTAGCAGTACTTGGTATGACACTTTCATTTTCTGCAGCCAGAGGGGTCTCCCTGCATCTACGCCTCCCAAGGTCGCCTGGCAGAATCGAGCCATCTGCTTTCAGGCATGCGGGTGGCGAAATCAAGGGGAGACAGGATTGTGTATCCTCATGGGGAATTTCCAGATGGAGACTCGAAGTTTATCTGAGTAGTTCATTATTGAACTGCATTTCGTTATTCGACTTGCACATTTTCTTCCTTCTAAACAACGAGACTTGCTCTGAGTTCATTTGTCTGTTTCCTTTTATTCAGTTCACTTATTCAAGTGAAGAGAAGAACAGCATGTCCCTTGTACAAAACCTTTCTGGAACCTTTTAATGGTAGTCATTATCACTTAGCCTTGCTTTTCAGGGCACAAAATCTTCTTATTGGACCCGTTTTCCATTATTTTAATCGCTTCTGTCATTTTTCTTGGACTCTTTCCCAATTTTTGCACATCCTTCTCGAAAGCATGATGGTCAAAATTGGACACAATGTGTTTCAACCCAAATAAGCTACAGTATGACCTCTATGTCTAAATTTTCTATAAAAACTGTTAAAATGATGTCCATTATATATGTATATTTTTTAATTATTCAGAAACATGAGACATGCATTCAAATGTTCTTTTGTTCGTTAAGGTCCTTGGTACAACACATACATTACACTGACTATATACTAGTATTGAGGTATAATTCCCTGTCTGTTAAGACTCAATTTTATTTTTTTAAGTTTATTTAGTTTTTAAGACTCAATTTTAAAAATGTATATTAAGAAGCAAAGATATCTGGCAGTAAATGTATTCTGGACCGATCAAAATGGACTATGGGCCAGCAGCCGAGAAGAACTGCTCTTTCTGTGTAAGAGTAATGCACACCATTGAAGAAGGAACATGCCTCAAACCTGGTTGTCACGCTCTCCCTGACTACGATTGTCCCCTTACTTGTCTGGCACTAAAGCCCACCCTGTACTTTTTCTCCTAGTGGAACTCCCCTGTGTCACCTACTCATTTTCAGCTGGTGGTCCACTGTGATTGCTAGCTCTTTTCTGATCTGCCCATTTCTCCATTTCCCCTGCCTTTCCCTTAAAATATACTTGTCACTTACTTGTTATTGAATGTCTTCCTACTTATATACAACTTTCTATATTGTGAATATTGACATTTTTAATATCAAGGTAATTAAAAATTATAGTTCCATGCCTTAGAATATCCTCAACGCTTCCCGGTTTCATCATTTTGGGAAGTCCCATTGTATCAAGAGGTTAGCTTAATGTTTTTTACCCTAGAAATAAGTATTTTGAATAAAGCGAGTCCTGGGACTGACTGGGTAGGTAGGATACATGAGACAGATGTAGAATATTAGGAATTTTTACTGGGAACTCCAATATCACAGCCCACATCAAGTTCAGAGAGATGCAAAATCCAATAATATCCCCTCCCTACAAAGTATATTCTCAAACTATAAAAAATCTCATTTAACAAAAATAGAAGGTAGTTTCAAAACAATAAAGAAGGCTTGGAAGGAAATCTGTGAAATTTCTGAGAACTGGATCTTTCAGTATCATTGGGCCCAGTTGCCTAATTGCAAGGCAAGTGTTACAGGGCAGTGAGGTCGAAAAGGGCACTGACTGTCTGTCACCAATGGTTATTTTCCTTGGCAGGAGATGTATGTATGTGTGTGTGTGTGTGTGTGTGTGTGTGTGTGTGTGTACTGTCTGGGGTGGGGAACATGAGGATAGAATAGAAGGTGTGAACCACTGAGTTTGTACTACGATGTATACCTTTTCCAAATAGGATCTTACAATAAATGAAGATCAGTCTATAGATGACCACTTGATTTGGTGGGTAGCTAATGTGCTACATTTATTTCACAGTTTCACATATTTATAGTTTCCTTCAGATAATGTTTAAATGGGGTTTCAAAGAAGATATTTCCTTGTAAACCTTTTTAAAAAAATCACAAATATAATTGAACCATACAACTACATTCCACCCATGTCAGTGACCCCATTCCTATTAGAGACATTTTGTTAAAAGTTCAGGCGATCAAGCCCATAGAACAGTGATGGCGAACCTTTTGAGCTCGGCGTGTCAGCATTTTGAAAAACCCTAACTTAACTCTGGTGCCGTGTCACATACAGGAATTTTTTGATATTTGCAACCATAGTAAAACAAAGACTTATATTTTTGATATTTATTTTATATATTTAAATGCCATTTCACAAAGAAAAATCAACCAAAAAAATGAGTTCGCGTGTCACTTCTGACACGCGTGTCATAGGTTCGCCATCACTGCCGTAGAAGCTAAATTGTGAGAAAAGCATCATCGTGGGGAAAATAATGAGAGCCTGTGGTATAGGGGGTTACAGAAGCAAGACGAGCTTCCAAAACCATGTTTACTTCCAAAAGGAGGGTGAAGGCACACATTCATTAGAAAAGGAAGCTAAAGAACTAAAGATGGCAAGATTCTTTAAAACGACTGAGACTGAACTGGAAGCCTTGATGACGGCACACTCGCACATTGCCGCGCGTGCTGTGGGCTGAACTTGGCCATGGGGCAGGAAGAGATGCGCGCTGTGCTTCTTGTTTTAGGGTGAGAGTGGCTGGACTTGGAAAGTTCGGCTCACCTGCAGCCTGAACATAGGTTCTGTAACAAGTTCCACTGCTCCTCAGAAAGTTCAGGACCCAGGGCCAACATTCTCCTGCTCTTGCCGTCCAGCTCGAAGGCTCAGGGAAGTGAGCGTGGCCACGCTGGCTAGTGCTAACCCACGTGTTTCTGGGAAATGCAGTTCAGTATCGAACAAGCATCATTCCTGGTCATTAGAGCTTGAGGATGCAAGCTCCTCCTGGAAGGACGCAGGGGTCTGCGGCTGGGAAAGAGCAGCAGATAGAAATGGACTCAACACTGCAAGTCTTCACGGCAACAGTCCACACGAAGACTCCAGAATCACTAAAAGACACACAAACACCAAACAGCCTCCCTTCCCATCCCTGATATGGGGAAAGGGCTCCAGCAATGTTGAGGGTTGGCGTGTGTATAATGATAAAGGGATAAGGCATGTCAAATGGGGAAGAAAGCCCTAGAGCCCTTCCAGTCTGGGGAAGCCATTGTATCTTAGAAACAAGGGGTTTATGTGTGAGATTATTGATCCACTAAATTTTTCTTCACTTACATCTGACTTTTCAGTGGTAGGACTTATTGGAATTTGGGGACAATTCTGTTGTGGTATTAAATACAGTATTAAAAACTCATCTTGGTGTTGAGTTAATACAGTGACTTTCAGTAAATTGACTTAGGCCCACATTTCATTTGAATCAAAAACAAAAAAACTAGAAAATGTTGCTCCCTAAATAGGCAACAATGCGTTTTATAAGCACTACGGAGATTTAATAAATGGCATGTATGATTAATTCAGAAACAACCCCTGCCACTTGAGGGTTACTCAGTACATGGAATGGCCTCCCTCTCATATTTTTCATATGAGGTAAATGCAGGCCAGGGAGCCACTGAGCAGGCTGCCAACCCTGAGTACTGCTTGTAATCTTGGCTCCATGGGGATGTCTTTTGTAAAGATAAAAAAGGAATGGGTTGATATTTCTATTACAAGACTCTGTAATGCTGGAACATCTACAAGCTTAAATAATGGTTGGGGGGTCCATTCTTTGATAATAAATGCTAAATTGTTACTTTAGTTATTTTTAGCACCATTGGGTTAGGGTGCACACTTGGCTTAGAATACCATTTATATCATTATTTCCTTCCGTTGAAGGAAAATTTTTAATGTCCTCTTAAAAATACATATAATATGCCCAGTAAAATACATTGGCCAGCATAAAAATCAAAGGAAACAGTAGTTTGGAATATCGATCCACATTACTGGGGTTTTGAATTGTGAAATAATCAACAATCCTTCCCATCTTATCTCGGAAGACAAACTTGAACTTGTCACTGGTTTTCATAGTCAAGTTGCTGTAGTCGACGTTATCACCAGAAATTTCAATGGTGGCAAAGCTGATCTTCCGTTTAAAGCTGGAGATGGAGCTGTTGATGATGTTAGTAATATTGACTTCTTCCACCTCCTTCGGCATCCCCTAGTTCATAGACAATGCAGTTAGCTGGAAGGCTTGAGTCAGCAAAATAAATAAGTGGGTATTTATATACTTGGAGGCCTATGTATTGCATAATTAGGTTTAATAGAGAGTGACATTGAGTGCATCGGAAATTGGCTGGTAAGCCAGACTTAGCAGTCCTGTTGTCCTGCTTGTAGGCACTGATCCCTTGTCCTTAGCTTGTGTAATGGGAAGAATAACCATTGTTCACCCTAGCTATGTAGAGCTGTGTGCTAAATGCCAAGTTCACAGCTTTGAAGTTAGCTGGCCTGGGTTCAACTTCCATTCTGTCTCTCACTCTTATGAAATTTTAGTCACCAAAATCCCTTAAAAATTTTATTTCCTTGCTTGCAAAATGGTGATGATATTAATACCTACCTCATGAGTCTGATTGGAAGATTAAATGGTATAAATTATGTAAAACATTTAGGTGTTTGAGGGATTTCATTCTGTTTCAGGGAGGGGGAAGTAATTGATTATGAGAAATAATAGAAATCAGCCCTGTCTTGAGGTCTCGCCACAAACAGAAATAGTGATGCTCCTTGAAATTCCAGGGAATTGCCATTCGCCAACATGTTGGGGCGACATAGGATGTGAGGAGCGTAGTGACGTCAGAGAGAACCGATTAAGGATCCTTGGCCAGGCCCCTTACTAGATGTGGAGTCTTAGATGAGTTATCTCATTTCTCTGAGTGGTAGGTCCCTAAACAGTAAAATCGGGATGATAATGGTACCCATCTGATGGGTTGTTGGTGGACTATGGGAGGTTGGTAAGCTGACAGGCACACAGCAAGTACACTGGAGTGAAGTTACTGTTAGACACATGGCAAAATAAGGGCTTTCTGGTTCTTCAGTGATGGATCTTGGTCTTTCTCCAATTCCCTTTTTGGCAGTCTACCAAATTCAGAATTTTTTGGTAATTAACCGTTGTCTCCTTAAGGAAGAAAATAAGTGAAATCCATGTCTACCTTGGCTGGCACATGTGATCATTTGCCTTTGTCACTTGGATAGCATGACTGTGTGAAACACTGTTCACAATAGTCGAACACAAGGGAAAAGACACCTGGGTCTTCGGGCTCCTCTGATTCTTCATTTCCTTGTCATTAGACCCTGTGTAGTCCTGGCACTCTGCTAAAGGTGGCAATTCTTCTGTATTAGATCTCTATCCCTTTAAAAAAAAATTTTTTTTTAACTTTTTAGCATGAGCTTTCATATGCCAATGTCTATCAACTTGGGCTTCCAAAGAATCCCAGGGTTCTGTGGGCCTGGAGAGAATGATTATTAAGAGCATGGCCTGTTGCTCACTGCAAGTGGGAATAACAGATAAGTGTCGGCCTTGGGAGCCAAGGAGAATTAGGTTCAAATCCAAGTTCTGTATCTTACTATCTGTGTCCCCTGGGAAAAGTCCCTTCCCCATCTCCTACCTTAGATTCTACAGGTATAAAAATGAAAAGGGCCTTACTGGGTTGCTATGAGCATTTTAAAGGATATAATATTTGCAAAGGGCTTGATACTGTGCCTGGCACATGTGAGTGCTCCATAGATAATAGCCATTATTATTCTGAGAGCTGGACCACATTTCCAATTAGCAGAAAGCTATGCTAATCAAGAAATTTACCACAATTTGATTTTTTCCCTACATTTTTTCAGTAAACCACTGTTTGTATAATTTAAGAAAACAAGAATTCACCAAAGAATTAAATAGTAAATACAGATTAATCTGAAACTTGTAAGTAGCTGATCACATTTGGCCTAATATTGGTGGGTTTTTTTTTTTTTTTTTTTTTTTTTTTTTTTGTGGATGCTTGTTCTTGTAGGTGTGACTTTATGTTGCCTACAGATAACAGTTACTTTCTGCTGGAAAATTAAACGTATTAATATCTCACTGCATTGGGTGAAAAGAACAATCCTTTTCAAAAGGCATCATGACTTCCAGAAGCTCCTACCTGAACAAGATGAGAGTCACTGGAGCAAAGTGAGTTATGGGGGATGGGCTGGGGGTAGAGGGGTGGGGGGAAGGGGGGTAGGGAGAGTGTAACCAGGTCCAGGCCATCTCTACCGACCAGCCCATGGCACAAGTGATGAATCATACATAGCGCTCTCAAAATTCTTACCCTATCTTTGGCCGCCATCTGCTGTAAGGAGCTGTAGTGGGCAACTGCGTATTCCAGGAGGGCCCCAAACACGAAACTAAAGCAGATCCCCAGGTACACGTCGATGGCCTTGATGAAGCAGTTGGTGTTGGGAAGGGAAGTGCGGGACCCGATCATCAGTGTGGTCATTGACAGTACGGTGGTCACTCCTGGGAAAACAGGCAGGCAATGTTCCCACGCCAGTGGCCAGGGGACCTTCCACCGTTACCTGGGAGACTGTCTCCATTCAGGACTTGGCAAGGTGGGCACAGGACTCAGAAATGGAACAGAGTGCATTCGGGAGACTCTGTGGCCTTCTGGAACAGGGTTGAATTGTCCGTTTTGTACAGATATGAGTGATGGTTTTTTTTTTTTTAAATGTTTCACCTTTTGTCTTCTCATTAGAGGAGGTTGGTCAGTATGCAAAGTAATTGGTGACAGGCCATCTAATCACAACATCCCCTTGCCTGTCACTACAAAATTAAGTTTAAAAATGTACTACTAGAGTAGTCTCTCTGTCTCGCTCTCTACTTCTTTCTCTCTACTCTGCTCAGAAAACCAACTCCTGGAACTGCCCTGTGACTATCAATGAAAACAGTGGCAGAAGGAGAGGAGGGGAAGGGCCTAGTAAGCCAGCTCTTAGACATCTCGGGTTCGAGCTGCTCACCGATGCAGGTTCTTGCAGGCACGGAATCGAGGGAGATCCAAAACGAAACCCAGGACAACACCACGAGGAAAGTGGAAGGAACGTAGGTTTCCAAGATGAAGTACAGGACATTCCTCCGGAGCTCAAATTGCAAGACCAGCCGCGTATAATTTCCTGAGAGGGTAAGCAAGGGGCAGGAGGTCACGTCTGCTCTCAGGGCAGTGGTTTCCCCACGGGATGTTTAACTTTGCTGTGTGGACAGTAAGCCCTCTGCTATCCACCACACCTAGTGGTCAGGAATGGCCATCATTTTCACGAAAGGAAATGCTGTTGTCAAGTGGGATTTACGGGGGTGCTGATGCCCCCCCCATCCTCTTCCTGTGCCTTTCTCTGTCATCCCCGCAGCATGTAACTCTGGTGTCCTTGTCACCTACCTCGCCAGACTGTGGGCTCCTTGGGGGCCGTTTCAGTCCTGGGTGTGGCGCAGGTAAAAGTACCAATTCCAAGCCCCACGGCCCCACCACACTGCAGAGGGGCTCCCAGGCCCCGAAAGGGTGAAGTGGAGAAGAGATCCTATTTCGGACCCAGTTCTTTTGCTTTTGTACACTTTGTCCCACGAGTTACCTGTCTCCTGCTGCGACCTGGTGACGAGGGTGAAGTACCGCTGGATGGTGTACTGCGCCAGCCGCAGGTTCTCCAGGCCCCGCACAGAGTCGTTGCCGCGCAGCCAGCTGAACTCCACGTCGCTGCCGTCGTAGCCCCCTGGCGAGGAGCAGAGCCCTGGTCAGTGCGAGAAGGTGGCGACCGAACTGGCCCGGGCAACGCTACGCTACGGAGACCGCGGGAGCTCGTCTGGATGGCGCCAAGTCCAGGGATGAGTTTGGGTAACACGCGGCACCGTTTCTCACCTGTAACTGCAGCGTCTACTCGGGATGAGATGACCTGTGAGCGCTCCGCCTTCCATTGAGAACTGGTTCAGTGCTAATTACAGAACTCATTATTTCAGTACTTATTGGACACGTGTGAACACACAAGGTCTGTGCTGGGTAGAGCCTTCCAGGACAGTCTGACACCCCCCACAGTATTCCTGGGGACTTGAACTCAGTCTGTTCCTATTTCCACGTGGGCAAAAAATGCAACACACAATCCCGCTGCGGGCCACTTTACTGATGTCAATAAACATAGGCACTTGAGAAATCTCAGAGCAGTTCGACTAACTGAGTTGATAATAGTAGTAATAGCTGCCTTTTATGAAACATTTATGTTCTTACAAACTTGCATGGGAGATATTTCTATTTTTCTTCATTTTTTCAGATTAACTTTTTAAAAAAATTTTCAATTACAGTTGACATTCAGTGCTATATTAGTTTCCGGTGTATGGCATAGTGGTTAGCTATTTATATAACTTATGAAGTGATCCCTCAAAAGGTTAGTACCTGCTTGGCACTATATGTAGTTATTACAATATTATTGTCTATTCCCTATGCTATACTTTTTTACATTTTCTGAGATTGGGATGGATCTTATGATTGAGAGATATATATTATACTAGAGGCCCGATGCATGAAATTCGTGCAAGGGGTTTGGCCTTCACAGCCCCGGCTGCCTCGGCCCTCGCAGCTCCAGCTTCGTCCCGAAGGTCGTCTGGACGGTCATTCTGCTGTTCAGTCTAATTAGCATATTAGCTATTTATCATATAGGATAGGATTACATGTTTTGCCATTTGACCTAGTATTCACTCCTAAGTATCTGCCAAGAGAAACCAAGTCATGTCCACCAAACAACTGTACACAAGTGTCCACGGCAGCATTACTCATCACAGCTAGGAGGTGGAGCAGGCCAGAGGGCCTCCCACCGCTTGTATGCGTTTGTATGGAATCACGAGGAATAAGGCAGTAAAAGGGATGCAGTACTGATTCACACGCTGACACCTCAGACACATTATGCTAAGCGGAAGGAGCCAGGTGCAGAAGACCGCACAGCGCGCTGATCCAATTTATGTGAAATATCCCTCACAGGCACATTCAGAGACGGAAAGTAGATTAGCGGAAGCCTGGGGGCCGGCGGTGGCAATGAAAGTGACGGTAAGTGGGCACAAGCGGTCTCTGTAGGTGACGGAAATGTTCTCACAACAAAATGTTGCAGTGGCCGCACAGCTTGGCAAACTTACCAAACATCTTTGAATTGTACACTTAAAATGGGTGAGTCGTTTGGTATGTAAATCTACCCCAATTAAGCTGTTGACCAATAGCTCTTGAGTCAGATACTATTGTTTTTCCCACTTCACTCATGAGGAAACTGAGGTCCAGAGATGTCGTTCTACTTACCCAAAGGCACACAGCCAGTGATGGGAAAGCCCAGCGATTCTGGTCTTCTCCCCAGGCCTGTTTTCCCAGGCTACTGGGAATGGGATGCCAGTGCTGGAGCTAGCAGTGTGGGGACTCGTAGCTACAGCATCCACTGTTTAGAAGCATCTATCTCCCCTCCAAGGGCAAGGAAGAAGTCATGAGCTCTTAGAGCAGTGGTTCTCAACCTTCTGGCCCTTTAAATACAGTTCCTCATGTTGTGACCCCCACCATAAAATTATTTTCGTTGCTACTTCATAACTGTAATGTTGCTACTGTTATGAATCGTCATGTAAATATCTGATATGCAGGATGGTCTTAGGCCACCCCTGTAAAGGGGTCATTCGACCACCAAAGGGGTCGCGACCCACAGGTTGAGAACCGCTGTCTTAGAGGATTTCCAGGTAGAAATTGTCTGTGGACTTTCCTATAGAAACACCTCCAAATTTACTGAAGGGAGCTGACCAAATAGGCCTAGGATCCCAAAGAAATAAAAAGAAAATGATCTAAAAGAGTGAGTCATACCAACTTGGACAGTTTGCTTTGTGGGATGGCATCAATTCTTTTTTAGGGATCGCGTTCGGGACAAAACCCTGGGTGAGGTTTCTGTACCCAAATAACTGCTAATAAACACTCAATTCCCTCTGCTCATGGGGATGCAGAGAGCTGTGCAAGCAGAGAACTGAAGTTTCCGGGGGACTCTCACTGTTGGGATTTGAGATGAGAACAGCCACACATGGAGGGCAATTACTTTTGCCATCGAGGGCGGAAAAGGATTTCCCGTCTTGATAACCTCAAGTTCTAGTCTGCCCCCAAACAGCTGTATTGTTCCAAGAAGGCTTTGCACACATTTAATCAATAAGGTAATTAATCTGCCGGTCTGAGTCTTTAATTAAATGCCTGCCTCTGAAAAATGACTGTTGCCTTATAATGGCCGTGTTCTTAGATGTTGGCCACTTGTGTCCTCGTGTAGGAGGAAGTGCCTGCTGGTCTCCAGTGTGACTAGGGTTTTTCCTCCTCAGACAAGCCACACCTTGATGCCTTAATGACTCCTATCTCTGGCACTGTTTTCCCAGGACACCCATCACAGGGACCACTCCCCAAGTTTGGTGGGCATTTCAGAGAAGTTCACTAGGAAACAATGGCGATTACTCATCAACACCATTTGAGGTACATCAACGCAGAGCAGTTGCTTGTTTTTCATCATGAGCAGATCCCCAGCCTGCAGTTTAGTTAGTTGCTCATGTACCGGCATCACTGCATTAAGCTTTATATATGTCAACAATTTCTTTTAGAAGTTGAAAGAAGTTGTATGATCAATGTCAGGATTGCTTTGTATATCTGTCATTTCTAATCTCTGCTGTGTCCTTTCTGGCTTCCATGCCTTCGCTGATTCTGAGTCCCCTTCTTAGTCCTACCGACCTCCATTTCCTTGGCTGTCTTGTCCACTCTTAGGTGGAACTATTCTCTTTCAATGCACAATGGTCCTCCCCAAAATATGTAATTTGGGAGGTTTGGCTTTGAGCAGTCTCCAAATCTCTCTAGACGTACAGTCAGAAGGGCCAAATCTGGTGTAATTAACATCAAGAAAAGAAAGGCCACTGTGTACAGAACACTCTTCGTGAACGCACAGATCTGAGTCACTGAGGAAATCAGCTCTGGGGGCCTGCGGGACATATACTCACAGCTTTCCAGTTGCAACTGGCATGTCTGTGTGTCCATGGGGTATTTAGACAGGTCCATGTTACACGCCACAGTCGTCGTGATTCTAGGAAAGGAAGAACAGGTTCAGAACAGTGTTATGAGGATGCTATAGAAAGGATGCATTCCTTCTAAGGGCGCTCCATGAAGACTTTCGTGTCGAGTCTACAGTGAGCGTGTGACTTGGACCCTGCGTTCGAAGCCTTCCTGCGGTTCTCTGTGCTAAGCGACGCCTGTGAGGCTCGGTTACCACTGGGGTCCAGAAGGGAGGAAGAAGTTGGGATGATGGCAATCCAGAGGCAAACGTGCAACAACATTGCAGAACAGAACCACTCATTGGCTTGTTTGAGATGCTTTTGCATCCAGTTATTAAATTTCATCTTCACGACAAACCGGGAGAAGCTAGAACAGAGATCACTGTCTCACTACCGTCACCATTTGACAACTCAGGCGCACACAGCTCTTAGAGGCAGAGCTGGGGCTGGAGCCCGCTTAGAAGGCTGCCCAGTTCTCGAGGTCCCTCCCTGCTGGAGGGACCAGCGTGCAGAGGAAGTGGAGGCTTCCCAGGGCACCAGGCACTGTGGCTCTTAAGGACCAACCAACAGAGACGTGCAATGAAACATCAGCTAAGCCCTCCCAATGGAGAGTCCATTGGCAGACCTTCACCTTCCTTTTCCTTCAGTGTCACACATTTTTATTAAGCGCCTTTATTTATTAAGCACTGTGCTGGGTGCTTGGGAAAGTGGAATGATGACCGCATGGTGCCCACTCCATTAAGGGAGAGAGACTAGCAACAGCTGCGATTTACCGACCACGAGCCAGTCCCTGGGCTCACGGCTTTGTGTGCGGCTTCTCTTTGCATTTCTACGGCGGCTTTATAAGCTGGAACCATTATCATTTCTCTCCTGCGGCTGAGAAAACTGAGGCTCAGAGAGTCAACTTGCCTTAAGCTTCTAGAGCAGGACCGATTTCCCGCAAATCTGTCTGACTCTAGAGTCAGGCTATGAACCGTCACCCATTATTGGTAACCCTTGTACATGGCAGATGAGCTATGTGCTATGATACAGACACATGTACACACTTGCACGTGCACACACATCTATGGGAACACAGGGAAGGGGCACATTGGTAGGCATTAACGTTGATTATGTTGGTTGGAGTTGGGGGTCAAAGAAAAGGTCTCATTAGGCTTCTTTTTAAAAAATTTTCTTATTGATTTTTGAAAATATATATTTTTACAGATTTCAGAGAGGTAGGGAGAGGGAGAGAGAGATAGAAACATCAATGGCGAGAGAGAATCATTGACCGGCTGCTTCCTGCACACCCCACACTGGGATCGAGCCTGCCATCTGGGCATGTGCCCTGACAGGGAATCGAATGGTAACCTCCTGGTTTGTAAGTCTATACTCAACCACTGAGCCATGCCAGCTTGGATTTCTTATTGATTTTTAGAGAGAGAGAGGAAGTGGGGGAGAGAGAAAGAAACATCGATTTGCTGTTCTCCTTAATTATGCGCTCATTGGTTGACCGGGGATTGAACCCGCAGCCTTGGCATATTGGGGATGATGCTCTAACCAACTGAGCCACCTGGCCAGAGCTCATTAGGCCTCTTGAAAGAGGAGTTGGGGTTTTGGCTGATCTTGGCAAAAGTCAGTGCAGCCGAGGAGGATGAGATGAATAATCCAGAAATTCATTTTCTTGGTTAGCTCAGTCTTCGTTTTACAGCTCCAGCCTCTTTTTGGGGGTGTTTGGTTCCTGGCCTTCTCCCCGAGGCCTCTGGGAGTATTCGGTTTGCATGAGCAGTGATGAGCCACCCTCCACCGCCCTCCCCCACCTCCCCCCCCCCCCCCGCCCCCGCATTGATGACCTCATGCATCACTCTGGAGCACCTTTGTGGTTTAGCCAACTAGTGGCTTCATGAGCAATTGGTTGGGAGAATCTTTTGGCCTCAGGGATTGGGGAAGGGACAAAGGGAAGCCCATGGCCACAGTGGTAGAGGCCTAGGGGCCCCACACCTGGATTCTCTGTGCAAAGACGACTGGGACACGTGGAGATGCATTCTGGAGCTACCCCATCCCCACAGCCCCAGGAAAGGAAAGGCCTTGGTATGGCTGCCTGTTTGCTCTTGCTGTCCCCCTACCTCCTTCCCTTGCTAACTTCCTTTTGCTCTTTAGGACTCTGCTCACCCTAAACCATGCACCTACTCCCCAGCCTGGGCCCCCATACCCTGGGCTCCCTGTGCTCCTGTGTCTGTCAGGACAATGTCTCCTCCCTCTGTCTCTTCAGAGTCCAGCCTGGGGCCTGGCACACAGCCGCTGCTCAGCAGATGCAGTGGAGCCACCCTGAACGGAGGGCGGCCCTTCTGGCTTCGGGGCGAGGATGGACGAGGGCAGGAGCGTGGGAAGGGGCCTCAGCATGGCTGTTGGAGTGCCGTCCAGGCTACTCAAGATGAACCTATGCCCTTTCTGGCACCGCCTTCCCCTCCCAGCCCCAGGTCGCGGTGCCCACTCACCTGAGGGCGTACAGGACTGTGCCGTTGGAGAAGAGGCGGATGAGCCTGTTTCCCACGGTGACCTCATGGAGGAAGGACTTCTTGGACTCCACAATGTACGTGTCCGGCACCCAGAGGAACTCCACGAGGCGTGCATCCAGGGTGACACTCTTGTTGCCTTCGAACACCAGCCGCTGGTCTGTCCAGCGCTGTCTGAGGTAGATGGTGGCCGTGTAGTCCTGGGGGGAGGGCGGTTAGAAATGCGTGATGAGAGAAAGATTCCGAAATCGGAAGGGGTCAAGTCTTACTCCCCTCCCCACCTCCCTGTGGGTCAAGTACATAGGTCTACTGTGGTAGACACTGGTGAGTAAGGTTTGCTTGGGGCCGTGGCCTGTGGCCGTAAGAGAATGAAGCACCTTATTCTAGGTGGTAACTCTAGAATGGGAACCCCGATTCTTATCCCGCACTAAATGCACCCACTCCACTCCCTCGATTCTCCCCTCCTGGCCTTTGAGTCCACTTTCCTCCGATACTCGTTAGATCTGTTTCACAAGAATCTTCCAGAGTCTGAGTTTCAGGGTCGGTCCCCACCTATGTCAGTCTGTTCTGTTTTCACGTCCCCCCTTAAACACAAGGAGGGGGACCCCTTGGTGGTAGACGGAGGGGCCTCACTTACCATGTTACTCTCTGAAATACTGTAAATACTAGCGATGTCCAGAGTCAGGGCTATCTGAACTGGTTCTCCTAAGATTGAAGAGAAAACCAGAAAGACTTACACAGAAACACTAAGAGAAGGCTTCCTAACATTACATTAGCATATGTATATATATATATTTTGCTAGTCCTCCCCCAAGGATATTTTTCCATTGATCTTCAGAGAGAGTGGGAGAGGGAGAGACAGAGAGAGAGAGAGAAACATCGATGTGAGAGATACACATTGGTTGCCTGCCACACTCACCCCGACCATTAACTGAGGTCTGTGCCCTTGACTGGAATTGAACCTGGGACCCTTGCAGTCCACAGGCCGACGCTCTCTCCACTGAGCCACACTGGCCAAGACTATATTTTAAATTAGAAAGTTACAAAAGTAACACTTGAGTGTTGGAAAATCTAAAATGCTTTAGAACAGTGATTGTCAATTGGTGTGCCACAAGAAGTTTTAAAACATGCAATACCTGACTATTCAGTTAGGGGCACTGACCTCTCTTCCCTTAGATTGTCAAAAATAATAATAATAAAAAAAAAATACAACAGCCAACACAACAATAGTCATCTAGTGTGAACGAATCAAAATTATACCTAATTTTTTTTGTTATTTTGGCAAAAAATATATTTTTGGTGTGCTGCAGAATTTTGTAATTAGTTTATAGGTGCCATGAGATGAAAAAAGTTGAAAATCGCTGCTCTAGAAGTAGATAAATACCAATTAATTTCTATCCTCACCCTCTCAGGAGAAAACTTCGTGTGGACTGTGCCTCCCTCTGTATGAGAGAAATGCACAAATATATAGTTGGCTTAATATAAGGGAGACCACACTATACTCATTAGTGCGTATTTTAAAGGCTGGAGTGGTGCTTGCTATTTTGTATTTGGAGGACTTTTCCTACGGTGCTTGCAAGGGACTAATTGCTTAGAAAAAGATAAGTGAGATTAGGGGATTGGTGCATGGATAGCTTTCCCCCCTTCAACTAAGTAACTCTACCACAAGATGGCATTCAAGACTGCTCATGCGTGAGCTCTCACACACCTATGGTACTTCTCCCCCTCTCCCCCTTCCTTTGCTCTTCAGGAACCCTAGTCAGAATCCCAGAACCTTCCCCACTTGGGCCAAACCCCTGAGAGGCCCAGGCCCAGCTCCTGAGCCCGAGGCCAGGCCAGGGGAGTTTCCTCCTCAGCCTGGAGTGTGCGAGGAAGGTCCAGGAGTCAGAAAGCGGTGAGTTTGACCTCAGTTTGGTGACCTGGGAAAAGTTACCAAATCCGTCAGAGCTGCACTTTTCTCACCTGTAAGTGGGGGTTACACCAGGAACACCACAGGGTCATGAAAGGGCTGAGATGAGGCATGTGATGGCTTCTTTGCAAGGCGGGGACAAGAGGAATTGCACCTCAAATGCATGCCCAGCTGGGCGTGCAGATGGGACTTAAAAATAGTTACCTGCTCAGGCTCCCAGCATGGTGTCTGTCATGTAATACTAGGTGCCCAGTCAATGGCATTCCTCCCCCCGTCCCCCCTTTCCGTAATCCCAGCTAATTCTAAAAAAGGAACAAGTGTACGGACCAGGTTAATAGCTGCACTAGTATTTCCTTGCAATAAAAAATGGGGTGACTCCGGGGACTGTGACAATGCAGGACCAGGAGGAGGAGAGGCGCAATTCCAGGGACGCTTTAAACACATCTGATCAGTGGGAATCACACGGGGCGACCAAATTTTTCATCGGAGGAACCCAAGCCACAGAATGCAGGTAGGAATTTGGAAATGGAGTTTTAGAGCCGATGCAATTAAAAAATAATGAAGTTAATAATACTTGTTCTTAATACTTGCTAGAAAAGGGGAGATCTTTGGGGACAGACCCTGGAAGGGGCTGAAGGAGTGTGATGCTAGGTGGCTTTCTACCCCTCAAGGCAGCATGGTGCAGCGCCAGGAAGAGACACTTGGAGGCAGAGTGTTCGGATCCCATGCCGGCCACTTCGTAGCTGTGTGACCTTGAGCAAATTGCTAAACCTCTCTGTGCTACAGTTTCTCACCTATAAAATAGAGCTACTCGTGCCCACCAGCAAGGGTTGGGCTGGGAAGGTTACGGATCTGTTTTAAGTGCCTGGAACCCAGTGGCCAGTTGTGTCAGTGTGAGTTGCCTTCCCCGAGGCACATGGAAAACGGGGAAACACACAAGAGCTCCGGCCCCACTGCGGTTTTTATTTAGTTTGTTTCTAGACGGTCTAGTCCAGGCCTGGCCTCAGTTGGTGCTTCTGTGGGCCAGGGCTTGCTTGCTTTCCCTTGTCTTATGAAACAAGCTGTGCCACCAGAGGGCAGCTCTCTCCTAGGAAAGAGGTCAGAGCCAGTTCCTGGGCAGTGCTCACGAGGGCCTGCTTGCAAACGGGTGCTCTGTCCAGCTCAGTCCCGGAAAAATCCTCTGCAGGTCCTGTGTCTTAAAGACCTTGGGATTTTAGAACCTGATGGACAGACATTACAGAGAACAATGACCCCTCCAAGGGCCCCAGGCTGCCATGGGAATGCAGGATCCTTAAGGAGCTGAAGTGCCACAGGCACAGAAAAGGGGCTGGGGGTGTGCTTTTCGGCTGAGCATTTCCACCCAAGGAGGGCCTGGGGCTCATGCGCCCTTGATCAAGGTGCAGAATGGGCACCTTCCCCAAGGACCCGACATCATGCTGGCCGGTGAGCGGGCAGCAGGAAGAGCAGGGCCCTGGCCGAACAGCTTCGGTAGGCAGAGAAATGGAGGGGTGGACCTAACCGGCTGTCAGAGTCACCTGCTTGTTGTTAGGGTTCGGCTGGGCCTGGAAAACCCAAGGGAGGTGGGAGCCCCCTGGGTCCCTTCACATAAGGACCTCAAGTCCTGACTGTGTGGCCAGGAACATGGGTCTCAGATCTCTTACTCACGGGGTGGAACTGACCAAGGGCCAGCTGCTGTGCTCTGAAGTCTGTGATGGCATTTGCTCCGAGGCCACCCTTCCTGTGGCCCTGCCCCACCAGGGACTGAGCGCCGCAGGGGGACTACCCCGCCTCTCCTGGGAGGCACAGGGCTGGGAGGTGCCACGGGAACTTCGGCTCATGGACTCACTGGTGGCCTCTCCAAGCACATTGGGAAGTCCGCTGCTAAGACACCTCCTCCTACCTTCCTCTCCCTCCCTCCGTCCTCTGGGGTCAGACCTGTATTGCAATCTGATGACTCTCCAGCTTCCCCCTTTCCCACCCTATATTCCTTCACGGATATTGCCAAATAGTGTCTCGTACAGCTCGCCCCCTCTCAGTCTCTGCTTCGCAGGGGACTGGACTAACCCACTCATCCTAGACCCGCCCAGAGAATGTCATCGCCTGACGGGAGGAGCAGGAAGGAACGGGGATTAAAATAGACTGCGCCCCGATGATTGGCAGGTACTGTGCTCCGTGTGTATGCCCTTCACCTCATTCAATCCTCCCTGGCAGGTGCCTGACATGTCTGCAACCTGACAGGTTGCAGAAAGGAAAACTGAGGCTCAGGAAGCGAAGGTGCTTGCCACGCAGTAGAGCCAGGAGCCAAACCCAGGTTTGTTCAGGTCCAAGGCTCTCTCTACTACTTTCTGCTCTGTGCGGCGAGGCAAGAGACCACCGTGGTCCGGTCTCGCATTTTTTATAAAGAGACCGAGGCCTGTGCAGGGCTGTGCAGTTGGTCTCATGACCCCCCTGCTGCCTCTTTCTTCCAACAAATATTAACGTCCTCTATGTCAAGCCCGGAGCTGCTGTGGGGTCAGGGAGGTAAATAAGGCAAGACGCGCCCAGGGGCTGCAGCCCAGAGCTGAGACAGGCATAAACCCAGCGACAGTGACAGCATCACCAGGAATGGCTATGGTTTGGAGTTATGTTCAAAATAAAGTGTGACGAAAGGGGATGGCGCCTGGCGGAATCAGGGAAGGCTTCTCCGAGGAGGAGGCCTTTGATCTGAGACCTGAAAGAAAATTGGCATTTTACCAGGGAGTCGGGTTGGAAGAAGCCTTTCTTGGCAGATAAATGGCTTCCGCAAAGGCATGGAGCCCAGGGAGGCCTTGGAGGTCAGGGAGCATTTGGGGCACACTTGTGTGGAGGGCATAGCCAGGGGGTGGAATTGGAGGTGCTAAGATGGGCAGGCAGATCGAGGCTGGGCTGGGAAGGGCCTGGTGTGCCATGCAAAGGGTTTTGGGCTTCATGCTGAGGAGTGGAGGGCAGCCCTGAGGGGCAGGTGGGAGGCGGGAAGACCAGGTGGACTAGTCCTGGTGAGCCGCGGCAGATTCCTTGAATAATGACGCCGGAAGTGGGGGCAGAAGGCAGACAGTGAAAGGTTGTCAGGAGGCTCTATAACCTCCCTAGCGAGGAGGAGGATTTCTTTAGGCTGCAGGTGGGGAGACAAAGTGCGGTCTCCAAGGTCGCGTGAAAACTCGTTGTGGCTGCGCTCATCCATCACTGCCAATCCTCCACGGGCCGCAGGTCGGCAAACAGTCAGCCAACCCTCCCGGACCCGCCTCGGCTCCTGTCCTTTGAATTGATGTTCTGGACAAAAAGGATGACTTACCGCCAAAATTGGGCCTGAGAAACTTGTTATATCCGACAGTGAGGTTCTCAAAGCCGGGCAGGGAGAGCTTGTCACTTCTGCTGACCTCCCTGGGGAGCCGGCTCCCCTGGACACGCATCCTGGGAAAGAAAGCAGGTTTCGTGCACACGCCTGTTTACATGTGAACAATGTGTACGCCAACCTGAGCTGTGTCTGCATGTACATGTCTGGGCCCATGTTCCAGCTGTGACTTTCCCAGAGAGAAAGCTCTACCTTTCGGCTGCCCACTGGACGTGGCCCTACCCCATTCCATTTTATTGCCCACTTGCCCTGATGTGGTGATTTGGGGACCTCTGAGTGTCTTCCCAGTGATCACCAGGGCGCTGTCCATTTCGGACACTTGGGGAGCCCGCGTTCTCCAGGGAGAACCAATGGCAGGCAGTCCTGGGGGGCCAGGGAGCTGCCGCCCCTCCCGCCCGTGCACAGACACAGAGCAGTTCCGGCCAAGGCCACTTGGGGAAGCAGAGCTCACCTTCCGGCCAAGAGGCTCAGGCACAGCCAGGCCAGGTGGAGACTCTGCCTCATGTTGAGGAGCCGCGTGTGCAGAGAGGAGCCCAAGTAGGAATCACCTGGGGAGAGAGGGGGGCAGGTGGGAGGCAGACAGTGCAAAAGGCTCACCCCTTCTCAGCCCAGCTTCTCCCCCCTCCCCGCCCTATCTCAGCCCAGCCTCCCACCCCCTCTCAACCCAGCCTCCCACCCCCTCTCAGCCCAGCCTCCCACCCCCTCTCAGCCAGCTTCCCCCTTCCCCTCAGCCCAGCCTCCCGCCCCCTCTCAGCCCAGCCTCCCACCCCCTCAGCCCAGCCTCCCGCCCCCTCTCAGCCCAGCCTCCCACCCCCTCTCAGCCAGCTTCCCCCTTCCCCTCAGCCCAGCCTCCCGCCCCCTCTCAGCCCAGCCTCCCACCCCCTCAGCCCAGCCTCCCGCCCCCTCTCAGCCCAGCCTCCCACCCCCTCAGCCCAGCCTCCCGCCCCCTCTCAGCCCAGCTTCCCCCTTCCTCTCAGCCCAGCCTCCCACCTGCTCTCAGCCCAGCCTCCCACCCCCTCTCAGCCCAGCTTCCCCCTCCCCTCAGCCCAGCCTCTCACCCCCTCTCAGCCCAGCTTCTCTGGGCATCGCCAGTGGCAGCATTTCTCACCAGGTGTGGGGAGCAGCCTCGCTCACACCTTTGGTTACACTTGCTGCTCCCACATGTCCCCAAATGACTCCTTTAGGAGGATCACATTTTAAATCCCACCCGAGGAAAGGCTGAGACCTTGTTTAGAGGGCGGCTCACGGCACCAGAAAGGCAGCTGGCCCAGCCTGTCCTGAGCCGAGACCGTCCTTACCCCGTCCTTGTCCTGACTCTGCCGGGAAGGACCCCCCCTCCCCCCCACTATCCACAACCGATCGTGCCTCATATCCCCTTATTTATCTGAGGGTCTGGGCCTGTGAGGCAGGTCACGGACATAGGAAATGAAACCCCCGAGGGCCCCCCATGTGCCAGAGAATGAGTGGGGTGCTCCCCACAGACTGTGTCCCCCGTCCTCACAATGGCCTGGTGAGCTGGGCGGGTTCCCCCCTGTGCAGACCACCCCATCTTATTGTGCTTCTTAGATGTTGTATTTTTCCCAAATTGAAGGCAAGACCCTCCACCAGGAAAACACGTCTGACTCACTTTAGTGCAATGCTAGCACGAATGAGGCGGGCTGGACCCCACTCTGGACATCTCCGAGGTGTGCCTGCCCTGCCGCGAGCAAACAGCTCTGGGAAGGGCACTGCACTAGTGAATGGCAGGGGGAGCGCTGAGTCCAGGGCTGGCTGCCTCCTTTGTGGAGCCAGGACACTGGCTGCCTCCTGGGCCTGCTCCTGGGATGCCCTGAGGCCACTGGGCGGTGTGGGCGAGCACCATGCGTGGCCAGGACTGACCGGTAGGCATGTCCCCAGCCTGGCCTCCTTTGGGAGCTGCTCTCAGATACCCTCTGAGAGAGCAGCAGGCAGCCTGACGGCTCTGTGTTGTGACAGCAGAGTGGGGTTGAGGTGGGGCTCAGGCCTGGTCCCCGAAGGCCCAGGGCAGACCCTCCCCCCTCTGCGGTGACCTCTGTGAACCCAACCACTTCCTACAATCCAGCCTTTCTGGGGCTTAGGGTGTGACTCAGCCACTAACTAAAGAATATTATTTTACTCACAAAACAATGCATGCTTATTGCAGAAATAAAACCCAGGCAGAGATGAATAAAGTTAGAAGTGTAAGTCTCCATGCGTCCATGTGTGTTCATGGATTTAACAAATGAGAGTGAGGAAGGCGGGGCTTGTGGGGGCTCAATATTGCTGTGAACCTAAAACTTTCCTAAAAGCTAAAGTCTATTAAACACTGTAAGTCCCTCCCTCACTTCTCTCTAGTCCAGTGATGGCGAACCTTTTGAGCTTGGCATGTCAGCATTTTGAAAAGCCCTAACTTAACTCTGGTGCCGTGTCACATAGAGAAATTATTTTGATGTTTGCAACCATAGTAAAACAAAGACTTATATTTTTGATATTTATTTTATATGTTTAAATGCCATTTAACAAAGAAAAATCAACCAAAAAAATGAGTTCGCGTGTCACCTCTGACACGCGTGTCATAGGTTGGCCATCACTGCAATCTAGTCTCACTCCTCCAAGAGAACCACTGGTGGAGGGTATTTTATCTGTGCATACACATGTATATTTATATACATGTATATTTTTGCATAAAGAAAAAATTAAAAAGTAAAAGAGAGGTGATAGCATGCATTTTTTGCAATTTACTTTTTTTCACTTCACAGTAACAGCAGACATTTAAAAATACTTTAATGCGTGCTTGCACTGTGCTAAGAACCGCTCGCATCCTCACAACAAGTCTTTTGAGCAGTTACTACCACTCTCTTCATTTTCAAGTCAAAAGGATGAGGCGGCGAGAGGATTACAGACAGTCCCAGGGGTGCACAGGAGGTGAGAGGCAACTGAGTCCCGGCAAGCGGACCCCAGCATTTTTACCCCCCGAACCACGACACACGGGCCCTCCCAATGCCATTCACACAGTCCCATGTCAGTCCCGAGAGGTCTGCCTCTCTTTGTCATGGCTGCAAGGAATTTCAGGAGCTCAATATCCCAACATTTATATAGCACATGTCCTAGTTATGAATATTCTCAAATATTTTTATTGTTACAAAACATATATGCAAGCTCCGATAACTCTGCACTCAATCATATTTCTCTACCTCAGCCCTTTCCTTCTCACTTATCAAAAATGCCAGCTACAAACACATTATCAATGATCATATTCAAACCTTCTCCCTTCGGTCCATTCCCCAATCCCTGGCTATCCTGTCCCAGTATTGCATTAAAGAGGGTCATGGGAGTGACTCCATGCCTTCCTCCATCCATTCATTCCATTGACCACGGGCTTAACGAGCTCCTCTTATGAATAAGACATCGCCGGAACAGAGCTTTGGATTCAGACACACCTGCGCCATTTAACCTCTCAGAGCCTCGGTTTTCCCATCTGACAAATGGGGCGGGGGGAGGCAGGGTATTCAACACACATGAGTTTCCATTCCCCTCTCCCTCTCGTGTCTTCCACGGGGACCTCTGTGATCCCACTGTGGCCGAGAACCCACAGCGCAGGCTGCCACCCAGGGGCCGAGTGTCAGGAGCATCACTCTGAGGGCACTTAGTTGGGCGCCACCTCAGAAAGGACAGGGTCAGACACAGGACGTCACAGGCTCCCAGGTGGCTGATGGCACCTTTCTCTGGACTGGCTCTGAGAAGCAGAGGCCGCTCCCATGTGTGTGGGCCTCCACTCCCCTCTCCAGAATCTCCCTCCCATGAATGCTGCGACCTCCAAACGTCTCTCTACTTGGCCACTGTTCCCATCATCAGTCAGCATAGACAGAAGCCTTGTTGGGAAGCAGGAGTGACGCCCACGTGAGGCTGGGGTGAGGGAGGCGGTATCACCAATGGTCCTCCTTGAGAAGGTCAGATGGTCACCTTGTGTGGTGCGTGCCCCTGCGGGCAGAGCACACAGGGACGCACCTGAAGCTCAAGTGCCAGACCAGGAGCTGGGATCTACGCTCTGCCGCCTGCTCTGAGCTGGTGTCACTTCTCCCTGAGGGTTAATTGTCCCCAGTGTGAAGTGGGATAGTAATCAGTAGTTCTTGAGACAACGGGAGACCTGATATTGGGTCGGTGCTCTGCAAATCCCAGGCCCTGTCCCCTCCCCTCAGTCCCAGCAGGGCTTGTATTGGATCTCCTCCCCTCTCCTCCCTCCAAGCACCAAGGGGGCCCAGCCCTTACCAGAGCTGCCGAGGCTGTGTTAGGGCAGGTCCTTCGGGCCTTCAGGCCGGGCTTTCAGGCAGGGCATGGTCTTCTGGGTCCCCGAGGTGCGGCCCATTCTCAGCCCTGACCTCTTGGATGCCCACACACAGACGCTCTCTGATGGAGTGGCTCTCTCTGTGGGAAAGGGAGCTGCAGGACCAGCTAGGCAGGCAGGTGGGCGGGGCCTCCCGCAGCCCCTCCCCTGGGTGGGGCTCTGAGCCAATCCTGGGTGTCTGTGGGAATAGCCCAGCTCCTGTTATGACTGCTGGCTGCCAAGGGGTTGTGCCTCAGCTATGTTCCCAGACCACAGAAGAGAATCTTGAGACCAAAGACCCATGAAAGTCAAATAAAGTGCGTGACCCCACCCACCAGGCCTGGAAGATGGGTCGCAGGTTGGCTGAATTTGGAGGACACCCCTCTATCCTGATACCATGGGATGGGCGTTAGCAGTATATATGGTCTTGGGCGAGCCGATTCACCTTCCTGGTCCCCAGCTTCCCATCTCGGAGACAGAACTTGACCATTTCTAAAATCCCGAGTCCTGGTTGTGCATTGTAAGAGCATGTTGGGGATGAACAGAAAGCAATGTCTATATAAAAGGAGGCTTGCAGATCCCAGGACCACATGCTTTCAGTCTGGGAAGTTTCAAAAAGAGCCATCGGGGCCAAGAGGATGGAGGAGAGAGGCTGAGCAGCCAGCCCAGGACGAGGTGGCAGAGACGTTGGGAGTAATTTGGTAGATTTCTATCTCTCTCCTCTTCCTCATCCCTATCCCTCCCACAGAGGACTCTTTAATTCCCTGAAAAGTCCCTTAGGAGCATCCATCCTCCACAGGCAGTCAAACCTCCTAACAGTCCTGCTCCAACAGTGCCCATCACCAGTGCTGTCTGAGCCCTAGTCCTCCTGTCACCACAGCCAGTGGCCCCGAAACTCGAAACTAGCCCTTGGCTCCAGCCCCATGGGAAGGCACAGGGATTCCTGGAGGCCAGAGCTGGGAGCTGGGAGCTGGGGAGGGAGTCCCAGGCCAGGAGAGAGCTGAGGCTGTGGCGAGATGTGCCCAGGCGCCTCCTACCCTCTTGACATCACAGCCAAGCTCCTGTCCAGAGCCCCGTCCCCACAGGTCTTGGAGGTGCCCCAGTGGGAAGACAGGGAGAGAAGTGGAGGGAGAGCATGGAGCTGCAGAAAGCAAGAGGAGGGAGGAGGAGGGCTGGGCCTCGCGTACAATGCTCCAGAGATGCCTTGGGCCCAAACCAGTTCCTGCAGTGTGCCCTGGAGCCGGGCCAGCCTCGCGGGAATTCCTGTGCGGGCTGGTGGGGAGCTGGCTCCGAAGAGAAAGCTCTTTGATGCCTCCTGAGGGGCCTCAGTTCGCCCGGGCACCCGGAAGGCAAGGCGGCTGGAACAGGCCGGCTACGGAGCGGTTTCAGGCTCCCAGCGAATGGGAAGCGGTTTGGGGTTTTCCTCAGAATTTCAAGATGTTCTTACATGAAACAAAGGCTCAAAAGAAACAAATACAGTTCAGAGCTGGGAGGTAGGAGTGGGCAGGGCGGAGCGGGAGGTGGGGACTCCTTCTGACTCAGATCAGTGAGACGGAGAAGAAAGAACAGGACCGGTCAGCTGGATGGCTTTGGGCAAGTTATTTAACCTCTCGGGACCTCGGCTCTTACCTGCCAAGCGGGGCGATGATTCCCCACAGTGCTAAGGCGCGAGTTCAGGAATGACAGGTGTGAGAGCGTATCTGAAACTGCCTGGCACGTTGCACCTCACACAGAGTAGATGCCCAATAGATTGTTCTTTTTATCCTGATGTTGTTAGTATCTTCTCATGTGTGTACTTATCTATCCAAGTATCTATCATCTATCATTAATCTCTCATTTATGTCTAGCTCCACCATTAATCTATGTATCTATGCATCTATCTATCTATTATCTATCTTCCATCTATCTATTATCTATCAATCTATTATCTATCTACTGTCTATCTATTATCTATCTACCTATCATCTATATCTATCTATCTATCTATCTATCTATTATCTATCGTCTATCTCTCTATTATCTATCTACCTATCATCTATCTATATCTATCTATCTATCTATCTATCTATCTATCTATCTATCTATCTATCTATCTAGTCTATCCATCTATCATGCATTCACCCTCTATTTAATCTTCCCAATCTGATTGTTAGTACTTTAATTGTTCAGGTTTGTATTGATTCTATGTCAGCATTCAGTAAATACATTAATAGACTGATTATACCTGGGGGTCAGGGCAAACCAGAACTCAAGTTCATAAAGTAGGTACAATAGAGGGTCTTACCTCTCAGTTTCAAACAAAGCTTCAATTTAGTGCCAGCTTCTTAGATTTCTTTCAGACCAACTGAAGGAAGAGCCAGAGCGGGGAGTTCCCAGGGGAGCCAGGGTCTTCTCCTGTGGTCTCAGGCTGCCTCGCACCTTTGCTCCCGACCCCTGGCATCCTCTGCACCATCCAGGCCACCTGGTGCCCAAGTGTGACCTCTAGTCTCAGGCTGCCTGAGGCCAGTGGCATTTCAGGATGTCCAGCTCTGCAGACATGCTGCCCACGGGCTCCCCATTTTGGTGTCCACCTCCTAAGGCACATGGCCACACCCCTTCCTAGAGGGAGCAGAAATAAAAAAGTCTGTCCCTAAAAAACAAAGGCCAGAGTGGTCACCATGCACACAGGATACTAATCCTAAATAATAAAAGACTAATATGCAAATCGACTGAATGGTGGAATGACCGGTCAGTATGATGCACACTGACCACCAAAGGGCAGACGCTCAACATAGGAGCTGCCCCCTGGTGGTCAGTGCACTCCTCCAGGGGGAGTGCCGCTCATCCAGAAGCCGGGCTCATGGCTGGCGAGCACAGCGGTGGTGGCGGGAGCCTCTTCTGCCTCTCCTGCCTCTACGGCAGTGCTAAGGATGTCTGATAGCCAACTTAGGCCCGCTCCCCATGGGGAGCGGGCCTAAGCTGTCAGTCGGACATCCCCCGAGGGCTCCCGGACTGCGAGAGGGCACAGGCCAGGCTGAGGGACACCCCCCCCCAAGTGCATGAATTTTGTGCACTGGGCCTCTAGTAAGTCATAACAACACTGCCCATTGATACAGTGCATTGAAGTTTTCAGAGCCTTTTACATGACTGGAACTTGTATTTGAGCAACATTGTTCCTTTATTCTCATTTTTGTACATGAGGAAGCTGTGGCCAGAGCCACACACTACTGAGTAATATGGCCAGTGCGAACTGGAACCCAGGTCTTGGGATTCCCAGTCAGTTACCTGCCTCACATGTCCATTCAGTTGTGGGTTGGGCGGGTATATAAAGGCACAGAGCTCAAGGGCACCAGGGGAGAGCCAGCCATGGGATCTGCCCTGGCCGGGAGGCTATGGTGGGGCAAGGCTGCCCAGCACCTGCTCTCCCCAGGGAATCCGCCCTGCAGACTAGATACCCCAGGGACCTGCCATCCCAGCTGGAAATGAAGTAATTTGTCCTGGTTATTTCTGAACCGGCAAGAGAACAAGACAAACTAGAAGGGACAAAGAAAGTCGTAAAAAGCTTATGAAATGAAATTTTATGTGGGATCAAGTTGAATAAGAGAGGAATGAATTTAATGGAGTGAACCTAAATATCAAAAGCTGATACCAGATAAATGTTTGATTATCCCTCTGTTGAAAAGACAGTTTTCTCACACTACTGGTCGGCTCCTGATAAGATATTGTGCAACGTGGTCTGCTTAGAAAGCAAAGATGCTGTGCTTTATCAAAACAATTTTACGTGTTTTTAGGGTGTCTTAACCAGGTCTCTGATTACTTAAGAAAACAGAATCTTCTCAATAGGAAGAGCTAATCTGTGTTTGAAATGCCCTCACCGACGTCCATGCAAAGGCAGCAGAAGTAACAAAGTCTGTAAAGATTATGGCCCATGTGGGCCCGACTCAAGAGCCCGCCCAGCAACGTCTCTGAGCTCCTTCCATTGCAATGTCCTGGGGCCACATGTGTAGTCAGTGATGTGGCTGATAACCAACCCAGGCTTTGTTTTACTTCTGCAAATACTGCCTGTATTTCTCTTGCACCTTTTTGTCTTATGTATGGATTCTTATAGGTCAGTGGTTCTCAACCTTCCTAATGCCGTGACCCTTTAATACAGTTCCTCATGTTGTGACCCCCAATTTCATTGTTACAAATTGAACATAATTAAAGCATAGTGATTAATCACAAAAACAATATGTAATTATATATGTGTTTTCCGATGGTCTTAGGCGACCCCTGTGAAACGGTGGTTCGACCCCCAAAGGGATCGCGACCCTCAGGTTGAGAATCGCTGTTATAGATGGACACAGCTCTCTTTTGGTGTGAAGGGAGATGTAAAGAAGCAAATGCATCATTTGATTATTAGGCATGTGATGGTGCAAAATATCCAGTTAAACAGAGACATAGAAGAATCGAACATACTGTCAAACCTCAGAGGGAAGGCGGGGGTGGGGGTGGGGTGGGGTGAGAGATCAACCAAAGGATTGCATGCATGCACATAAGCATAACCAATGGACACAGACAATAGCGGGGTGCGGGCATGAGCTGGCGGGTGAGAGAGGCTAGGGAGAGGTCCATGGGGGAGAAAAAGGAGACATATGTCATACTTTAAACAATAAAGAATTTGAATAAAAAAAGAAAACTCACAATAAAAGACAAAGACTAGTTTTCCCCAGGTGAACTGAGGTGAGGGGAAACGATGCAATATAGGATAGAATGTGCCATGACTGAAGGATCTGGGACCCCTGAGTCGCAGAGTTAGCACTTCAGTTTGCTCGTGACTGTCCCTTTCTCTCGGCCGTGTGAACAATGGGCCCCAAAGCCTTTCCATTAAGTAGCTGTTCACTGCCAGCTCCCCTGGGCAAGAGGCCAACCGCTGAGCTTTCTGCATTGCTACACAGAAGGGGAGGGGTAGTTTGCAAGTGCAAATGGAGCAGGCACACTCTTGTAATCACCTTATACGTGGTGTGTCGTGTGTGGTGAGGCTGTCCACGGGGGTTGTGTCAGGCGATGGCTGACGGTCACCGCTCTCCATTCTGAAGGCCGTGTTTGCCATGTGGACGCTGAGCCA